TCAAATAATACTATACAAAAATCTGGTCTCTTCCTTTAGTATCTGACCTAAACCGAACAGAACGATGGTTAGAATTAGGTTGACAGGATACCTATGTGACAGTTCGAATACATGAGAAGCAAGAAGTTATGTTGAGAAAGGAATGAACTATCAATACCAATTTTGGTGTTAATTTTGTCAAAGTTAGCGTTCAGTGAAATAGAGAAATGAATGACTTGACAAAATTAAACATATTGTGGTAGATACAACATTAAATTTAACATGTTTACGTGTCGCCATTTGATCAATGATGAATGAATAGTTTAAATATATTTTATTTATATATGTATTATAGAATTTTTCAGATGCATTAAGTCGATCGAGCATTAAGGTATGAATCTTAAATGTAAATGTATGAACAATTTCTTCTTCTAATATACTTTTTTATTTCTTACTGTTGTCTCTACGGAGTAAATTTCCTTTTTTATCTTTTTTAAGGATAAAGTATACATGGTGTACGGGATAAGTTCTTGTATAACTGCTTGAAAACCACTTCGACAGAAAGGAATCTTTTGTCATTGATATGATGTGGTTTTTGGATGAGCATAAGTCATATGGGATCATGATCAAAGCAAAATCATTAAATTATCTGCAACAGAATTAGGACATTGACGATGAATGACTGGTAATGTTGATGATTGCAAAGAGGAAAAAAAAATACCCCCTATGTGTTTTTAAAAAAACTTCTCTAAAACTAAGTTCTACAAAACAACTTAGGAAAGTTAAAATATCTAGCGAGAAGTAGTGTATATTCATACTTAATGATGTTAAGATTTAAGTTTTACATTGTCATGTTTATTAAATAATCAATTTATGGCTGGATATTCGGTTTAATGGTTGGTTTTTCCAATGAATGTGATTGAGTGATATTGAGTAATTACCGTGTAGTTCAAGCGTGAATAACTTGGTATAATTGAAGGCACTAAACCCATTGAACTAATTTCGTCTAACTTCTATATTTTTACTGTTATTTATTTCTTTCATTTATTTGAGTAGTGTTATCGATGAATCTGATGCAGTGCACACCTTGAATGGGTTTCATGCTTATTATTCCGGTAATTTATATATAATAGGTGAATCAAGTAGATTAGTCACTTAACAACACTATTATTGAATAGATATTTACAATGTCTAGTTGAATATATTATGCTAAAAGGGTAAAAATGTAAAATTTCATGGCAATAATGTTATTTCTTCTTTCCTCCCATTAATTAGGGATTTCCAAACAAAGGAAAATAATCTTTTAATTTTCCATCCTCGACCATTTATATTTCCTATTTCCAACGATCCAAACATAGAGTGGAAAATATAAAGGAAGGAAATGAATAGTTGAAAAGTCAGATCTCTCTTGTGATTCCTTCTTTATTCTTCTTTCTTCCATTTTTCCAAACATAATGCTAGAGTCCTATTAACTTAAACTACTCATATAATTTTTTCTTTGCCGATAGCTTAATTGAATCATTTAACTCAAAGCTTGACATAAGACCTAACCGCTAGCTTGACTCACAAGAATTTACAAAATATATCTCAAATTAAAATACGAAAAACATTTATATCAAATCAAATCAATCACTACGATATTTTCTTGTGTTTCTGTCAAGAAATACTTTGATTTTTTGTCCTTAACATTATAGTTAGAAAATGTTATACGCCCCCTGATCTTTTGCAACTTCATCCACACATTTGTTATGATTGATCTGGTGCAATTTTTTGTACTTTGTTACAATTAATAGCATGGATAAATTAGCGATTAATTTTGACAAAAATATAATGAGTTTAGAGTGAATAATAAAAAGATTGAATGCGGATTTACACTTTTGTTCGAAATATAGAGACGAAATAGTAATTTATTTATGAACACAAGTATAAAAAGATATGACAAAGATATAACAAGACATGTATACAAAAGAAAAGATGGAAATAAAACTATATTATTCTTAGAAAAAAAATCATAAGCAACAAATGTTGAATGTATTATTGACGAAAATACATGATTTTTTTTTCCCAATTTTATGATAATAATAGTTACTAAATAGGATCGTGTATAAGTTTGTGACTGTCCAGATTTTTGGATGTCCCGGAAGGATAGGTTTAACTGATTTTTCTTTTTTGGAAAACGTATTATGTTAGCAGGCTTAGGACCCATTAGAAATACTGATGCTATAAGCTTTTGGCCAAGGTAAGAATAAGAAAATAGTGTATTAAGGAACGATGGCTCAATTTGCTCAAATTTTCAATTTGCATCAAGAACGATTAATTCTTTTTTATAAATTTGCTCCTGTCAACTTTACAAAGAGAGGACACAAAAAGTGTCTAAATTTTTTAAGGAGAAGAAATTTATTCTTAGTTTGAACTATTAAAAATTGCTTAAAAATTTGAAGATTAAAATGAAAAATGTATTTAAATATAATAATCAATTATACGCAAGTGTTTATAGGCTCAGTATTCCATTTAAGAAACTATTTAAATAAATACTTTCTTATTTTCAAAAATTTATAAATTTGTAATAATTTTTAATTATATTGAATATTGTGTGTAAAAATATTTAATGGTTCCTTAATGTTGATCTTTTTTTTGGTAATTTTAATAATTTGATATTAAATTAAATATTGTGATTAATTCTATTAATCATATATTGATTTATATCAATATATTATTTTTGTGGAAGGCAAAAAATTGAGAGTTGTAGCTTTTGGCTCACAAAGGTTTTAAAGTGATAGATATTGGTACAGAAAAGTTTAAATTTATTGAGCAAATTGTACTCATTGTGGTCCACAAAATTCAGTGAGGTAAAATTGAGTTTTTTTTTGTTCCAAATTATTATTACGTTCCGTTCTATTATACGTCAAATATATAAGTACAGATTCCTACCTTTTTAAAAATAAATTTTATTATAATTCCTAAGTTTGAATCCGTCCAACAGTTTTAAAGTCCTTCCGTCAATTTTTTTTTGTTGCTTTAATAAGTTACGGGTGAATGCACGTCAATGTAATCGGATGATCATCTTATATGACAAAATGAGAGAGAAGACACATTTGTTATAGCCTAAAGTACCCTTGAATCAGCTGCTCCTCTCTATCCGTTGGCCAAACGAGCCATGAGCAAAACCTCTCTAAATTATAGCCAGTTTGCCACAGAGTTCGGGCAGGAGTTAAACGAAATCACCACATTTCTGTCTCTACGCCTTATAAGTCATTATAGGTGACAATAAGAAAAACTTGGTAGAGTTCTATTTGAAAAAATTTAAGGCAACCTAGCAGAACTAAAATGAGTACCAACAATGTACAAAACAAATCTTAAAAATGTGACAAGAAAAGCGTTCAAGATTGAATGGATACAAGATTTTAGAAGCAATGAAGACTAGTTTACTAGATATAGTATAGTTTGCTACTTGGAATACACAATCGTGTAACTATTAGGAAACATACGAACAATAATAAAGCAATTAGTAGTGGAGCACGACAAAATCTAAAACCACGAATGACCCATTATGTGGACAAATAAAAAATAGGCCACACCAAAATTCCTTGTTTGTAAGCTCTCATCAAATGCTTAAATAATCGAATGTACCTAAACTGCTATTTTTTTTTACAGGCCGTGAAAAGCAGAGTTGAGACAGAAGAATAAGGGAAGAGATGTCGCAAATCACCTAAGCTGAAGCACCGTTGTGGATACGAAATCTTCATATCGAGATGAGCAGTAATCACCACAAAACTAATATTTACCACCATGGTCTCAGGAATGCACACACCCATTCATATATATCAATAAAATATTACTCGCGATAATTTTTAGACTTCAAGCCATCACTTTCATCTGAGTCCAAATCTGCCAACCGTACCGCAACATAACCCCAAGAACAATACCGCAACAACGAGAAGTAACGTATAAACACAATGGATTTATAAGGCTGAAGAAAAGCAGACAATAGGTCGACGAATACTATCAGCTTTGAAAATGGAGAGTTGAGGGTTTGTCGTATCACGCGAAAGGACGGTATCATGAGGACTTGAGGGTAGCAATGCAATACGCCAATGAGCGTGGATAAAAATGCAGAGTTTCTTTGGTTGGGGGTTTTGGGTGGTTTTCTAGAAATACAGTTAGGTTCCTTCTTGTTGTTGTATGCTTTGGCTGACCGACTAGGTTGGAGAGGTGGACAGACCCGCCATAGCGATCAACTCATCGAATACATGCCGCCAGCGGCGACACCCGACGACACAACCTCGCACGTACGAGGACACAACAAGCGAATGCGCTCGGGATGGCAAAATAAGAGGACGGAAATTTGAGTACTAGATATATGGCTGCTCGCACTGAGATGAGAGATGAAAGACGAGAAGAAACTGAAAAAGAGATTTTATCCTAGGATAGGAAAATGGAAGTCATAAATTACCTGGTTTGTAGGAATTAGTAGGTACTTTTTCTTTGTCTCAATTGATGTGGTTATTATGATTATTTTGTAAATATTAACGTCTCTGCTATAAATTGTCACTAGATCTTTTGTACCGCCTAAGTGATCTTAGGTATAAAGGTTAACTATAGTAGGGTTGTAGGTGTTGAAGGTCACGGGAGATCGACAGAACACTTCTGCGTGCTATGAGTATCAGAGCTTAGTCCATAAACTCGTACCGTGCTGTACCTATGCTTCCTTGGAATGGCTTGGGTTACCGCCTTCGTTATATTAACTGAGTAGATTTCGAAGAAGCGTCATTTCTCTTTATACCTCTATTTCGGAGGACTAAATATACAGTCCAGCTCTGCAGGATGGCACTGAGAAGAAGAGCTCCATCTTTGACACCGACCACCCACATCACACTTAATATCAAAACACAACTCCCTCTTGCCTATTGATTGTATGGGAAATCTGCGTCAATACAGGCAATTGGCCGAACTCTTTAGGTGCATCATTCATGCCAGAGAGGCCAGCCCTTAACTGCAGATGACCACCATTAGATCCGAGAATGTCAGTGGCATGCACAATTATTTCTCCTCCCAATCTTCTGTTGAACAAGACTCACATTGCGGCATCCGCACAAGCTCATTGGGATCGCATTGATAACATTGTTCGTCAATGGATCTACGGAACCATATCCAGTGATCTCTTGAATACTATAATCAATCCAGACGACACAGCTTTGGATGCTTGGAATCAATTGGCAGAATTATTCCAAGATAATAAAACTTCTAGAGCCATCCATCTTGAAATAGAATTTGCCAATACTAATCTGCGTGATTTTCCGGACGCAAAGGCGTATACACGCCGTCTCAAAGTTTTAGCCGATCAATTGGCAAACGTTGGTGCCAAAGTCTCTAATCAGCGTATGGTATTACGCCTCCTTACTGGACTCACGGATGCGTATGAGGGATTTGTTACTGTAGTTCAGAACAAATCTTCACTCCCTTCTTTTGATCAAGTCAAATCTATGCTTCTTCTTGAAGAAACTACTAAGGCAGAGCGAGCTAAACTTGATGCTTATGCCTCCTCTGCCATGGCGAGCTAAACTTGATGCTCATGCCTCCTCTGCCATGGTTGTTAAAGCCTCAACCGACGGTCGACAACAAAATTATCGGCAACGTGGTGAACGTGGGAACAATACAGGTGGTCGTGGGCGGTCAGGAAATAGTCGCAGCAATTCTGGAAATTCTGGAGGCCGTGACTTTCAACAATCTTCATGGAATTATCCCCCTTGGGATGGATGGTACCCCTACTCACACCAGCTGCCTCTATAGGGACCTCCACCATGTCCTTATCCAACTTGGGGTGTTTGGCCACCACCTTCAATGCCAAGACAGCAGGGAATTTTGGGTCCACGTCCATCTCAATCCTTCTATATGGCTGCCTCTTCTACCAATGATTATGCTCCAATGGATATTGATAAGGCTATGCACACTCTTTCATTGCAACAACCCGAAGAACACTGGTTTATGGATAGTGCAGCTACCTCTCACATGACTACTAATCCAGTTAATCTCACTTCTTATTCTCAATTGAGTCTCAATGATGGTATTTTAATCTCACTTCTTATTCTCAATTGAGTCTCAATGATGGTATTGTTGTTGGTAATGGTAGCAAAATTCCAATTCGTGGTTTTGGTCATGCACCTTTGCCTCATTCTAGTCCACCTTTGCATCTCAAACAAGTGTTGCATGCTCCTAATTTAATTAAAAACCTTGTTTCTGTCCGCAAATTCACTGTTGATAATATGGTTTCTGTTGAATTTTATCTGTTTGGATTTTCTGTGAAGGACTATCCAACGGGGAGCCATCTCCTGAGATGTGATAGCACGGGTGACTTGTATCCCATCACCAATCCGAAATGTCTTCCTTTGTCTTCTGCTCAGTCTGCGTTTTCTGTTCTCTCATTAGCTCAGTGGTACAATCGTTTGGGTCATCCAGGACAAGATGTGCTTATGTCGCTTAGGCAAAATAATTTGATTTCATGTAATAAAGACAAAATTACATTTTGTCATTCTTGTCCTCTTGGAAAAAAATTACATTTTGTCATTCTTGTCCTCTTGGAAAATCTATTAGACTTCCATTTCGTGATTCTCTTTCTACTACCTGTATGCCATTTGATATAATTCATAGTGATTTCTGGACTTCACCTGTTCTAAGCTCAAATGGTCATCGCTATTATGTGCTGTTTCTTGATAGTTTTACAAATTTCTTATGGACTTTTCCTATATCACATAAATCCCAAGTTTTTGGTGTTTTTCAATCTTTTCATAAATTTGTCAAAACGCAATTTGATAGACAAATCAAAACAATCCAATGTGATAATGGTCGTGAATATGACAATGTTAAGTTTCATGAGTTCTGTCAAGAAAATGGCATATCCATACGTTTCTCCTGTCCTTACTCTTCTTCTCAAAATGGTAAAGCGGAACGTAAAATCAAAACTATGAATAACATGGTTCGCACACTTTTACTACACTCTTCTATGCCTTCTTCATTTTGGCATCATGCGTTAGCTATGGCCACTTATCTTATTAATATTCTTCCTACAAAAGTGTTAGGATATAAGTCTCCCACCCAAGTACTTTATCATAAAGATCCTTTGTATTCTCATCTGCGTATTTTTGGTTGCTTGTGTTTTCCATTATTTCCGTCTTCTCAAATTCACAAGCTTGCATCTCGATTCACTCCATGTGTGTTTTTGGGATATCTGTCTAATCATAGAGGATATAAATGTTATGATTGAGGATATAAATGTTATGATTTGTCTTCTAGAAAAATTATTCTTTGTCGTCATGTTCAATTTGATGAAAGTGTTTTTCCTTTTTCTAAAATTCATAATCCCTCTCCTTCTACTTATGAATTTTTAAATGATAATTTGACACCTTTAGCCATTCATGGATTGCATGCAACTCCCTTCTATTCTCCTCCCAACTTGCAAACTTTACCCAACACACAACCGGCTGCACCTACCTAGCTATATTCATCTCCACCTGCCGTTACATCAGCCCAAACCATGCCTAATCCACCCGAGAATGCAAATCAGCCTTGCCAACCCATCCAGCCTGCTCAATCCAAATCAGCCTTGCCAACCCATCCAGCCTGCTCAATCTATCCAACCCGAATTGCCTGCCCCTACTCGCATGACCACACGTAGCCAATCCGGAATCTTTAAGCCGAACCTCAAGTATACTCAATCCTTTCATGTTACTACATCTATTTCTCCCTTACCCACTGATCCAATTTTTGCACTTAAAGACCCAAATTGGAAACATGCTATGTTAGATGTTGAGGCTTTAATTAAGAATAAGACGTCGGATCTTGTCCCTCGTCCATCTAATGTGAACATTATTCGGTCTATGTGGAATTTTAGACATAAAAAGAGATCTGATGGTTCTTTTGAAAGGCATAAAGCCCGTCTTGTAGGTGATGGCAGGTCACAACGAGAAGGAATTGATTGTGAAGAGACTTTTAGTCCGGTTGTTAAACCTGCGACTATCAAAACAGTTCTCAGTCTTGCTGTTTCTAAGTCTTGGTCTATTCATCAACTAGACGTCAAAAATGCTTTCTTGCATGGAAATCTGAATGAGACCGTGTACATGCATTAACCATTGGGTTTTAGAGTTCCTTCTCAGCCGAATCATGGGTGCTTGTTAAAGAAATCACTCTATGGTCTCAAACAAGCGCCGCGGGCATGGTATCAGCGGTTTACAGACTTTGTTGCAACCATTGGTTTTGTTCATAGCAAAATGGATCACTCTTTGTTTATTTTTAGTCATGGTTCCAATATTGCCTACATTTTGGTCTATGTTGATGACATAATTCTTACAGCTTCTTCTGATGCACTACGATGGGACATCATTACACGTCTTAGTGCTGAGTTTGCTATGAAAGACTTGGGACCTCTTAATTATTTTCTTGGGATTGTTGTTCATCGAACAAACTTCGATTTATTTCTGACTCAACAAAAATATGCCGCTGAATTATTGGATCGTGCAGGTATATATACTTGTAAACCAAGTCTTACACTGGTTGACACTGCCTGTAAATTGAGTGCTCAATCGGGTGACTTATGTTCGGATCTAAAGCGGTATAGGCAACTAGCGGGTGCTCTGCAGTATCTCACTTTCACAAGACCAGACATTTGCTATGCCGTTCAGCAAGTATGTCTTTTCATGCATGCTCCAACAGAGAAACATATGAATGCATTAAAGAGAATTCTGCGATATGTTAAAGGCACCATTCATTATGGTCTGCATTTATCCAAGTCCACTAATAATTCCTTAATATCCTACACGGATGTGGACTGGGGAGGTTGTCCTGATGTACGTCGTTCTAATTCGGGGTATTGTGTGTTTCTTGGTAATAATCTTATTTCATGGTCCTCCAAACGACAACCTACCATCTCCAAATCAAGTGCCGAGGCCGAATATAGAAGTGTTGCCAATGTTGTGTCAGAATCTTGTTGGCTTCGTAATCTTCTACTGGAGCTTCATTGTCCTATTTGAATTGCTACTTTGGTTTATTGTGACAATGTCAGTGTTATCTATTTGAACAGAAATCTAGTACAACATCAACGCACTAAACACATTGAAATGGATATTCATTTTGTGCGCGAAAAGGTCCAAAAAGGTGACGTGCATGTTCATCATGTCTCCTCTCGATATCAAATAGGAGACATCTTTACAAAAGGGCTTCCACGAGTTCTCTTTGATGATTTCAGAGACAGTCTTAGTGTTCGTCCCTCTATGAATGGATTTCAGAGACAGTCTTAGTGTTCGTCAGACATCTTTACAAAAGGGCTTCCACGAGTTCTCTTTGATGATTTCAGAGACAGTCTTAGTGTTCGTCCCTCTACCGCTAAGACTAAGGGGGTGTGATAGAGTTACTATATTTGTAAATATTCTGTTGCTATAATTGTGCACTAGGTTTTGTACCCTAGGTGGACTTGTATAAATAGTAGGGGATTGTAGTCTGAAGGTCACGGAAGATACAAACACTTTTACAATACAAATTAACGGCAAAAGCTACAAAATTTGGTAGAAGGGCTAGTTGGATTGGGATTACAACTTAACTATATAATCGTGTATTTGGGCAAATACATCATTTGCCTACTGAATTTGCGGAAAAAAAGTCTTGTGGCCCTCTTTACTTTAGAAGTGACTTTCTGACACCTTAAATTTTACTTTTTATAAAAATTGCACACCTGGTAAGAGTAGTCAATTGATTGTGTACAACACACGTGGATGACACAGAAAATTACAATTCCAAGTCATAATTAATTTTACCACGTTGAGTATCATGCAACAAAAAATTCATGAATCAAGCTAAATCAAACCTAAATCTAATCAAATCAGTAACTAACCTATAGGATTTCTCTAGAAATCTAAAAATCTCTATTTTTCCCTAACCCAAAATCCCTTGTCCCCCTTCCTAATCGCACCACAGCCCCTCCCCTATCCCCTTTGTTTTTCATTCACCAGAGCTTAAAGCTCCGGTGATCTGACCACCTCACATCACCGATAGCACCTTTGAAACTTGCTTTTGCCTTCATTCTTGTTTAAGTTGTGCTAACGAGAGAGACAAAGGGGCTTGTTGATCGAGACAACTCTCTTTTCTCCTTTTTCTTAGCATTTTCGGTGACCTGAGCTCAAGTCGCGCCGACCAGAGTTTCTTATCATCATTCCTCCGCCGTTCACTCCATCTTTGGTCTCCCTCTTTGTCTTTCAGTGAGCGCGGTAGAGAGCGAGTCGCAGTCTCACTTTTTAGGTCAATCTAGCCTGCTTTAGTATTACTCTCTACTTCTCCAGCAAGACCGGCCATAAGCCGACAAGACCAGTCAATAATTTACTAGTTACAAAAGCAATTTTAGAATGATAATAATTATTGATATTATTTTGATTTGTATATATATATATATATTGAAATGACCCGAAAATTCAATTTTGAAGAATTTTCATTTAAAAATTAAATTTTTATTCCAACCAATGAAATTCAGTGGAAAATATTTTATTATTGCTAAATCAGACCTGTAAATCAGTTTGAA